TTTATTGAATTGCTAATAAATAATTTTGTAATGAATTTTTAATAAATTTTTGCTAAATAGTTAATAAATTATTTAATAAATTGGTAATAAATTTTTTGATAAATTGTTAATATACTGATTTTTGTAATATTTATAGCTGAATTATATAGTTGCTAATTTATTTATATTATTTTTTTATCAAATTGTTTATTTTTTTGCTGAATATTATATGAGTGACAAAATGTCAAATGATTTTTTTTTGACTAGTGCAAATTTTATAAATAAGAAATATAAAATAAATCTTTTATTTTAAAAATTCAAGATAATATGTTTCTTGAATAATATATAATTTCAGTGATCAACAAATAAGTTTTTTAGATAATATAAAGCTAGTGAATATCCTAATCAAGCAATTTTTTATTAATAAAAGATTATTTATTTGAATAAAAATTATTTGAAAAGATTTTAAATAGTTTTTTTTTTTTTTCTTTTTCTAATGCATTAATTTAACAATTTATTATTTTGAAGATAATCTGTAATGATAAACTGTTAACAATAATCCTGATAGATAGAGATTTTATTAGCAATTTATCAGGAAAATAAAATATTGTTTTCTTAATCCAACTTAGAATACCAAGTTAAGACTTTGTATTGTTTAATCTAAACTAGCTTAGTTGATTCCTCATATTTTTTTAGTGTAATTCTTCAGCTAATAATGTACAAAGATGAGTTAGTCATTATATGAAAGTCCATGCAATATTGTAGATATTTATTTGATGATGGCATGACTGTGGGTTAAAAAAAAAAAAAAAAATGTAAATTGTACTTAATAATTGGAATATTCAAAAAAAAAATATACTATTTAAAAAAAAAAGTCTAATATTTTCTTTAATGAATAAGTTTTATCTATAAATAAAAATAATATCAAAAGGTAATGAACAATCGATTATAAGAAACAGTTTAACAATCAAAAAATCAAACAAATTATTTTCAAAATTGTACTCGAAATAATAAATTTATTTTTTTTTTATAATTAAATCAATATACATATGTAATAGTTTCTATACAGTATATCGGTCAAACAATATTAGCTTATTTAAAAATAAAAGTTTTATTTATGAAAAATTTAATAAAATACAGGTATTTTTAACGAGTCACCGGAATCAATCTTCATTTACTATCCAAGAAAGAAATTGATCCTCATAACGATTATCCAAATAATAACTTCCTATAGTCCCTTATTGAAAAATATGTGCCTTAACTTTTCTCCCTTTTCATCCTTCAAATTCCAAAACTTTGATTCTAATTTCAATGGATCTACAACCACATTCTGCGGAAAAGCGGCAATTGCTAATGGTAAGGCTGTTGTCAAGGAAAGTGCTATGAGACCTGGTTATCGGGAGACGTGTTATTAAACGGGAGTTTTAATTAGAGAGGAAAACGTATGAAGTTCTTCCTTACCGAAATTGATGGGAACTGAAAATCTCGGATTTTTTTGCAACCATGAAGTCTTTTCAAGCAGCGAAAGTACGAGAGGCGGAATTGTCAAGACCGGGCAGTTGGTAAGTATACGAGATATCGCTACCTTTTATGAAAAGTAAAATACTGCTATAGTAAACCAAATTTGTTGCATGAAATATTAATATCTGTCCATACTTGCTTGACAGCGGATGCACCAGCCTTTTGAGATTTCCCCAATTTGTTTCCTTTTTCATCATACACGTCAATACCATCTCTAGATAAAATGATTATAAGTTGGACATAATAAAAATCAAAGAAGCAAGAGATTAGATTAAATCTCACCGAATCTCTTTCCATCTCATTAAGTAGACATTTACAGTTCCAGCGCTAGCTACAGCCACGAAAGGTACTAGCTTCGTAAGTATACCACGCACCGCTGGTTTCAAGAATTTCAATCGAGGAACCGCCTGCGTCAAGCCGACAGCCAGTCCACATGATGTTGTCACAGCTGCCACGTAAGCAACTACAAGGGAAACCATCATATGCTAGATTCTAAGACAATGTATCTAACCGAATAATAAATATGAATCAATAGATCTATTCCTTACCGGCAGTTTCCTTTAAACTCATCTCAGTTGTCTTATTTGCATTAGAGTAGTTTATAGCGACGTTGATGCTTTGGTTAGCCCACTGCCAAAATATGATACTTTTCATCTAAAAAGCCTGTTAACGTTAGATCTTTAGGGAATTCTCTTAAATTAAAGCATTCATCGTAGTCAAACAGTTACATAGAATATAGACATTGCAAAGCTTACACTTGGATTTGGCATTAGCATACCAGCAACAACGATAAGGTTTGTTGGCACAAAGCATGACATGCGAAAAGGAAGAAACACGGGCTCTCCCGTATCAGGGTGTAGCGTTGAATCGACGACTGTATATAAAAAAATAATGGCGAGGTATAAATATGTTGAAGATACTGTTCATCCATAGACCCGGTATTCCTGCGCTCACCTTTTTTAGAGTACCATAGTTTTTCGTGATCGACTTCTTTTAATTTCCCGGAATTATAATCATCAATTAACCTTTTTGCCTCTTCGAGTCCACTTGTCGTAACAAACAATGTCCTATATTTCGAGTCAATACTTATTCAGAATCATAACCATGATGTCTCTTTAGAACATAGAAAGTCAGTAACCTCATGTCCGTCACATCGATGAAATGTTTTACGCGTCCAATATATGTCGACTGATCATATCTTGGTTTCACTTTTTAAAAAATGGGTGTTAATATGTGCCAAGTACGATTATAAAATAGATTTGTATAGATGCATATATACATAAATCAATCCTGGGAAAGTTAACAACATTCGACATGATAAATATCTTAATACCGAATTATATGAATCATGCATAACATTCGGCGTTGTGACATAATGTGGAAAAAAAAAAATTTATTTCGAGATACCGATAATCGTCGTTGCACAGGGACTGAGTCAGTATAATATACATGTAACAATCAAACAATCAATTTATTTTTTGCCGTCAAAGATCAAAATGCATTCAACCGCGTACTTGAATCCACCGACCGAAATCGGCTGTCCTATTCCAGCCTATTCTCCACATGCCATTTCCGTAACCCTGCCTACTTGGCAAGACAATGTTGACTATGAGGAGGCTCGTGAAAGAGTTGTAAGTCGCATGTCAAGTGGGTATCCTAGATTCTTCATCCACAATCAGATAAAAAAGGTAGCACCCAATGTCCCTTTTTTTTCTATGGATATACTTTTATTAATGCAGTTATATCTTAACTTGCCTGAAAGTTGATGACGATATGTGAACAGAAATTTGCAAAAACGACGGAATCATGCCTCCTATTTCCAAGTCGTAAAACAGCACAGGGTTGTCGAGACTTTTTGCATCGATATTATAGACCAGATACGCCTACCGTTTCGACGTGTGCACGTCTTGCTGAACTCTCGGTTTTACCTCCTGAACAAAAAAATAATTTGCTTCGAGAGGGTGTCACCCTACACGTAGTTTTATTTCCCAAGGATGCATTCCCCGTTGCAAAACTGTTTTGGCAACACACTGGTGATGGCATCTCCTCAAGATTGGCAGAATATGCTCTCTGTTTGATGCAAGCAAAACAAAATGAACATCATATTGAGATTTTTGTGAAATCCGTAGTCAGGAGTTCGTCTTTCAAGAAACGCTACGCAAATCCGCAATTATCAACTACTCTAAATTCGTATAATAATTCTAAACAAATTTCGCCTACCGACACAACCTTTTCCGAAAACTCGGAAGTAGTTGACGAGAGAAATTACGTAGAAGAACGTTATGGGCGTAATCTACCCATATCACTTGCTGACAAGGCTAAAATTGCATTGAAACGCAGAATAGCTGGCGTTCTTGGTGCTGAACGATGCCTGGAGGAAGTGATTTCAGGGCCTATTGAACCAGCTGATGTCAACGAGCGTGGTGTGAAGGGAATCACTGAGAATGATGTGTACCTTTTCCCAACTGGTATGAGTTCTATATTTCATGCTCATCGTCTTTTACTGACGGCCTTCCCACCTAAAAAAAGTATCTGCTTCGGGTATGTTATTTATGAAAAAAAAAAGCGTGTATTGTTTATTATTACAATATTCGTTAAAATGTGTTAAGCATTAATAATATTACCAAATCATTTATTTTACGAATTATAGCTTTCCATATGTCGACACTTTGAAAATCCTACAGAAATTTGGTCCAGGGTGTCATTTCTTTGGTCATGGCTCACCCGAGGACATAGATTCAATTGAAAGGCTTCTGATATCTGGCGAACGAATTTTGGCTCTATTCTGCGAGTTTCCATCAAACCCTCTTTGTAAATCTCCCGATTTAAAACGTCTCAGGACATTGGCCGATAAATATGACTTCCTAATTGTAGTCGATGAGACAATTGGTAATTTTGTTAATGTAAAAGTTTTAGAATGGGCTGATATCATGGTGTCCAGTCTGACCAAAATATTTAGTGGCGAAGTTAATGTTATGGGAGGAGGGTAGGTGGACTTGATCTTAAGTTTTTTTTTTTTTTTTAAAAAAAAAAAAAAGAATACTAATAATAATGACAATAATATTATATATATATATATTTTTTATTTTTTGGTATTATATTGCACGTTTGAATTCCTAAGCCTGGTTCTAAATCCTCGACGGCGCCACTATGACACATTAAAAAAATTTATTCAAAAAGAGTACGAAGACCTTTTATGGAGGGAGGATGCAATAGTTCTTGAACGTAACTCGAGAACATTCTGCGAACGCATCTACAAGGTCAATGAAAATACTGAGAAGGTGTGCGATTTTCTCTGTAAAAGTCCTAAAGGTCGGCAGAAACGATAAAAAGAATCCCTTTCGCATTCATTTGATTTTTACTGTATTATTTACTGATTGTTATGTGGTTCACTCATGCCCATCCTAATAGTGAAAAAAGTATATTATCCGAAATATATAGATCCGGAAATTTACCTTCAATACAAGACAACGAAGGGAGGTTATGGTGGACTATTTTCCGTCACATTTCACTCAGATCTGGCGTCTCGGCAATTTTTCGATGCGCTGCAAGTCGCAAAAGGGCCATCTTTGGGAACGAACGTTACATTAGCATGTCCATACACCATATTAGCACATTATTTTGAACTAGATTGGGCATTGAGTTATGGAGTCGAGTTCGGACTTGTAAGAGTTAGTATTGGATTAGAAGACATTGAAAGTTTATTGAAAGTATTTCAGGAAGGGCTGGATGCTATTTGCGAGTGATCGGTGATGATGATGCGAACAAATTGAGGGAAAAGAACGTGATGGTTTGACATTGATTTGACAAAGATTTATTATCATCGTTTTTAAGGAAAGCTAAAGTTCTATGGTTAATCATAAAACACGACTTTAAAACTGTATATTTCTATTATACACAAATTATTATATCATAATAATAGGTCATTACTATAACGTCCGTATCTAAACTAACAATAATCCTTAGAGATTATCTATCCGCGGATTATAACGGATATTAAATTATTCAAACAAAACAACTGTTTTTATAAATAAAAATCAAGATTCAAGTTTAGCTTACGGTAAAAAATATATTTTTGAAGTTATATAAAACTTTCTTGGTCTTTATTTGCTGGTGTAGCTGTCATCAGTTTTTTATAGTCTTGCTTATTCTAACCATATATTCTGTATCTGGATCCTTCTTGTGATGCCAAGTTTTTTTTCCAGTTTATTACTTTGATACAATGACTATTCCAGATTTTTTGTCTAAACCTCTTTTGCATTTTTTGACAAAGCTTATTGATTATTTTCTGCATGGATATTGATGGGATCTTGTATTGTGCTTTAAGGTAATTCTTTAAAGATATGGTTTTGTTCTCATCCATATATCCACATATTGTATTATGCAAGTTTCAATCAGATTATTGGATTTCTCTTATCCCGTTTCTTGTTCATTTATAAATTGTTGATTGATTTTCTATTTTTATTTTTTTTTCTTTTCAATATATCAAACAATTTTGTTATATATCTCTTTTCAAATGTTTTTTCTTAATTTATTTGCAGTTAGATTTAATGTTTCTTTTTAATGTTTATATATTAAACAAATGGTTATTAAGTAAATATCTGATTTTTTTTTTTTGAAAATCTATAATATCAAAAATTCATTATGAATTAAGTTTGTTAAGAAACTTTTGTTTTTGTTAATCTTAAATAATATATAAAAAGGTATTATATGGATGAACTAATTTCAGAAAATTGATTAATTCATAAATCCTAGATTTATTTTTATATTATTCAATTTAATTAACTTTTTTTCTATTTATTATTTTAATAAAATCTTTAATTTTGATATTGATAATGTATTCTTTTTATAAAATTATTATAAAAACTTCTTCTAATTCTAATAATTGGTATTTACTATTGAATCTTCATATTTGACTTGTTTTATAAAAAGTTTATATAATTGATAAACTTATTTATATTATATGTCTTGATCTTGCTAAACTTAAAGATAAGATTTTTTTTTTTTTTGAATTAAATTTTTAATTTTATTCTATAATGACCAATAGATTTTTTTTTAAATTCTTAGTCAGACTAGGTACTGTATATATACTTTATTAAACAGTTATATACTTTATATTTGAAATGTTTCATCAAAGCTAAATTTCTATCTAACTTATTTATCTCAATTTTATAAATTTTCTAAAACTTTAAGTACAACTTTGAAAATAATTTATTGCTCTATTAATAGTTTAAGTAAAAATCCTTTCAACTATTAATTTTATTGCTTGCAAATCACTGCTGTAATCTATAATAATCAATTGATACTTTTAATTCAATTTATTATTAATATGAAAATTTATAAACAAACATTTTTCTATATTTCAATTATAATTTTAAAATCTATTATTATAAAAGCTATTATATCTTAAAAGATTATATATAGTATTATAAGAATAGTTCATATTTTTGTTCTAGTTATTAATAATTACAATAAAACTTTTATTAAAATTATTTAATTATTATATTGTTCTTAATTAAAAATCAAATTAAATTTGTTTTTAGTTTATGTTTTTAATTGGTTTTTGAAAAAGCTATTTATATTATATAAAAAATAAATTATTTATTATTTTTATTTTATTATATTTAAAATACTGATAAACTTATTAATATTCCATTACTAATTTGTTAAAACTCCTAACAAAGTAATAAATTACTTCCAAAGTTGTACTTAGAAAAGTAAACCAATCAGGATGAGTGAGTTGGTTAAAGAATTAGCTTTAGCATCTCATGTTATATATACAGTTTACAAATGTTTAATAAAATATATATAACTAGCTTGACAGAGAGCAAAAAAAAAAATATTAATAAACTTATTAAAAATATTATAAAAAAACTTTTTTGATTAATTTTTTAACTATATACTATAATTAAATTTATTATTATTATTTTTTTTTTATTACTTATGGTCAGGTTAGTATAGGCAATTATTAATCATAAATAATAAAACTGTTTATGATATATTGGACAAATATATCATAGCTAATCTAAATTTCATACCAATTTACTTGCCAATGACTTTCAATTCTTAAAAAAGCTTTAACCTCTAAGTGTAATCTTGAAGACAATATTTCACTTTGAAATAAGTTTTGAGTAAGAATCCTTCCAACTTACCCATTATTACTAGCAGGTTGCTACTGCTGATTATTCTTCAAGAAACAAATTTTTGAAAACTATAATAGAAAAAAGGAAAAGTAAAAGGAAGGAATATATCTAAAAATACATAATTATGCTTCTCAGTTTCTATTTAATATTTTTATATTATATTTAATTCTTGAAGCTATCCTTATACCTCTCAAGTTTTCTCAGTAATTGTATAATATATTTTATTTATATCTTCTTATTTCTTGTATTTATATATATGAACTATTTCCTTACACTATGTGTATATTAAATAAGCACTATATACTGTATATCAACTATTCTTAATATCTATCTATATATAGCAAGTTATATCGATTATATTATATATATAAGCACTAGTTTTTCAGCAAACTATGTGATTTCTTCTTAATTGTTTCTAGCTTATTTTTATTAAGAGTAGTCTAATTATCAGATCATTAAATTTTCTTTATCCTAAATCCAGTTTTTAATCCTTTGGAATGGTTAACAGATTTCTTCTTCTATTAAGGTCTCCTAATAATACTGACTATAGCAAGTACTTATAGCCTAGTATATGATAGTCAGTGGTATCTATTGATTGATTAGATCTACTCTTCTTATTATCTTTTCCTAACTTATCACTAAAAGTAATATGATCAAGTTAGAATAATCCTAATCAATTTCAAATCTTGATCTTTTGAATATAATTTTTATATAAACTGTACCATAAGTAATATTTACAGTAGTTTCCTTTAATTGTTATATGACTATATTCAAAAACATTAGAAGTCAGGTCTTTACTTGATTAAGTTAACAGATAAAGTTCTATCAAACTTCAAGCATTGCTCCTTGGAAAATCTGAACTTGTATCTTGTGATTTGACCTATGAAATATTAACCATTGTAATATTGATCCATAGATTTACTATAATTAAATTTATATTTGATCAATACATTCAAATAAAATTGCTTTTAAATAAACAATTATCAAAGAAAGAATTCAAAAGTAATTTATAATCATAAAAAAATAATTAAGAATATATTTATTAAAAATCTATTTAATTAGTATAATACAGTATTTTACAAGAAATACTGTATAGTTTGCTCAAAATTCAAATTTATTAATAAATCAAAAAAACCAGAACAATTTTTTTAGTTCTAAAAAAGTTAAAAAAAGTTATTAAATCTTTCAAAAGTTAAGTAAAGTTATTTCTATAAACTTATTCTATATTTGAGCAAATTATAACTACTTATATACTTGTGAAAATAGATTACTTAAGTTATTTGAATCTTCTAGATCTTTTTAGGTTACTTAATCTATAGTAAATTATATTATGTGCTACATTTAATATAATAATTTATAGTAATTAAGTATCAATAAAAATATCAAAGAATATTAAGAAATAATTATAAATAAATAAATAAAAATATAATTAGAATTAGGATTATGACTATTTAATAGTATGAAGAACTATTTTTATTACAATATAAAAAAATTTTTACAAAAAATTTTTTTATTCCTTTATTAATAAAATTTTAATATTCTTTTTAAACCAACTTTAAAAATAATTTCAAGTATTATTTTTACTCTTCTTTATTTATTTATAATTCTTTTGTTTAAAAATTTATCTTTTAGTAATCAAAAACAAGTCAAGTAACATTTTTAATATCAATAATAAAAAATTTTTCAAAAAAAAATCAATTGTAAAGTATCTAAAAAATTTTTAATTTTTGAAGTATATTATATAAAAGTTTATTATAATAAAAAAACTTGTTTTTTTTTAACTGTCTGTATTTTCTTTAAGCTTTTATTTTAATTGTTTTTTAAAATTTTTTACTTATCTCAATTAGATTTAAATTATTGAATAATATAATTATTATCTTTTTTTTTAAGTATCTGTAACTAAGCTAGATTGTCAGTTTATTAATTATGAAAACAAAAGTATTT